AGAATCACTACCACGACCCTGGAACGCTGCTAAACTAAAGCAGTACTATAGTTAAAAACCCTTAACACCAAGGACTCTCGCTGTCGCCGTCGACGTCCGGTCAACGGGGAGAAACATCTCAACCACGTAGAAAGGCCAAGGTACAGGGCCAATCTACGCCCAAATGACATAACGTCGTTCAGCCAAACGAGCATGAACGATAGTGCCCGACATGGACACCTCAATCGAGCTCCACCGTCGAAGTACCTGTAGGGCAGAACACCCAGCTCGCGATGGGCAGTTCACGCCACGGGCAAGCGACCCCGATCCGGGTCATACGCCCGAGTAAGCGGCTTCACTCTGCACGCCCGAGGAATATCGAAGTACGTCAGACCATCCAAAGGGTCGAAAAAGAATCTCTCCTCGAGGTTGTAACTTAGGCTAAATTCGCCATAAAATAGAAAGCCGAGCACAAGCATGTCCCGAGGAAAAGACTTAGGCAAATTTTCCAACAAAGTGACAACCAAGCACGGGCGAGACTCGGGGGCATAACTTAGGAAAATTCTATCACAAAATATGAAAACATAGACACGGGTAAATAATCAAGGTCGAAACAAACATTCAGTCAAAAGCTCATAAATAACAAATAGATATAAACCGACCAAGAAGGCCGACGATGTTCAGGAATTACAAGAACGGGCACGCAGGCCCTAAAAACAACCATCAATAAAAAGGCGCGCAGGCCCAACTATAATTTCGCGGCTAGACTTCCCTGGGGCTACCAGCGTCGACGACAGGAGACTCGGGCGGAGGCACGATCTGGCCGTCGATGATCTGGGACATGAAGCCCACCCCTTCGGTATTCAGATCTGGATTCAACAAAGTGAGCTGGCTAACCGCGGCTTCAAAGCCATCCGCCAAGGCGCCAACACAGTCCGTCTCAAGGAGTTGAATACGAGCGACCAGTTCCGACCGACTCCGCAAGGGAGATGTCTCCTCTGACTCATCTTCGGCGGGGAGCATGGCGGCCTTCAGTTCCTCGACCTCTTTGGCAAGACGCCTGTTACCGATTTCCAAGCGTTCTCGGTCCTCACGAAAGTAGTCCCTCTCCTCGGCAACCTTCTCCGAGTTCTCTTTCTCCGCGGCCAGCAGCTCGGCTTGCTCGCGGAACATCTCCTCAGAGCGCTCCAGGGCAGCCTTTAACTTTTGTGAGCTTGCAGTAAGGGCAGCTTTCTCCTGTTCCAGCTCTTTGACGCGATCAGAGTCTGCCCCCTCCTCGGCCAGGACAACGGCCATCTCGGCCATCTTGACCATCCCAACCATGTTGGCGGCCAGATGCTTTCTCCGACTTTCCTTACTTAGCCGCCTAATAGTATCAGCTTCGTCGACGCTTACAGTCAGGGGAAACCCCTCAAAGAAGCCCTCCTCTTTAAAACAGGGAGGCAAGCCAAAGGACCTCACTGCACCAGACTCATCGCCGACCTCCGGCTGGCTCTCTACCCGGTTCCTCTTCCTCGATATCAGATCAATATGAGGCTCGACATCCTGAGCGTCCGGGGACCCTCCAGAAGCATCACCCGAGCTAGTTGGCGGGCCCATCCTCGTCGCTTGAGGAGCTCACACCACTCTTTTGTTGACTTTCTTATCATGTGTCAACTTTAGAAGCCTCTCCTTTCGTCCAGCCATGTGACCTGCATAAAAGAAACCCGGGTTAGTTACGAGCAAGTAACAAACGAAGAAATTCGAACAAGACTATAAGACAAAAAATAACCTAGCAGGTTCGCGGCCTGCCCGTAGGACTGACACTCCACAAGCGCCTTTGTATCTATAGGTCGGGTAACCATCTTCGTCGAGAATATCCTTTCCCTCCCTCGTGGCCCACCGGGCAGGGAAGAAACTGTCGACATATCTGCAGAGGGTACCATAGGCCTCCTCATCTTCGGTGCTCATCCCGCCCGCGGGCGTATGGTAATGCCCGGTGCCATGCTCGTAGTGGCACGAGCTCTAATGCAAGGGAAACTTAGCTACACGCCCCAACATCGGGCGACCCTCATCGTTCAGAACAGTCTCCCCGTGATCATCGGTCACCATAGTTTCTTCCTCGTATACAGACTCTAGAGCAGTTTTGGTGACCGGCCACACGATGTACCATTTGTCCTTGAACCCTCGGACAGAATCCATATACATCCTGAACAGCCTCTTCGACTGTTTCAGGGAAACCCAATTGTGCCTACCTCCCCGAGACTGGCGCTGTAAATGGAAGACTCTGAAGAAAAGAGGTATGGTCGCCCCAATCCTTAAAAAGCGACACGTCAGTTCGAATGCCCGAAGAAAAACAATCGAGTTGGGGTGAAGCTGCGAGGGGGCCAACTCCAAATGACTGAAGACCCCAACCTGAAAATAACTAAAGGGGAGCTTTAGGCCAAGGTCCTTAAACGCGATCTCATACATAGGAAACCCGTACTCGGAGAACTCCGAGCAGATCCGCGCGTTAAGAGACGGTCTGGTGACGACAAAATTTTTCTGGAAGTCGGGATGACTACTGCCCTGCTCGACGATAGTATACGCGCTCCGACTGCGCCGACTATAAGCAGAAGCAATCCCTCTGGGCTCGGAGCCCACCCACTCTAGCAAAGGATCGTCAATGGTATCGATCAGATTCACATTTTCCTCGGCGCTCTGGTCTTCCACCTCGTTGCGCCCCGAGGAACACGGTTCATCAGCCATTGTTACCTGCAAAGCACAGGAAACCAGTCAATTAGGGAGCAAATCCATACGCTCGCCATAACTGACGGGAAGAAGGGCACGACAAGCCGAGTCATACTCCACACACGATTAAAACGTTGAGGATTCGAACAAAAGTCTGGTATCACCTCCCCGACGCCAAGATGCCACGACAAGTCGTCCTACATACTGCCTAAATGGGCCAACATCCCGGCCAGTCACGAGTACGCCAACCTAAGCTATGGATATGTCGAGAAATATCATGAATCCTAAACCTAGAACTATGAGTTTACCGGTCAATATCACGAGTTAGGCGCCCTGAATCATGAAGATCCCGGGCAGCATTGCGAGTCACATGCCTAAACTGTACGTTTACCGGGCACAAACATGCGTTTACCGGGCATAAACATGGATATGCCGGGAAAAATACGAATGTATCGGGGCTAATCCCAGACGCAGATTTTCTAACATACAAATAATGGAAAAAATCATCTACCACAGAGAAAAAACATGAGGGATGAGACGCTTACTTGAAATCAGGGAAGAGGTACGGCGGCGGAGAAGAAAATCGACGGCGGAAAGCACAGTGGTCTTATGAAAATCTGGAAAAACAGCAGCAGTAAAGGCAGAGGAAGGAGGAGAAGCGCGAAGAGGAAAAACATATTATGGGACCCAAGGATCCTATTTATAGTGATGACGTGGAATACGAAACGTCACCCCGGGGAACCACGAACTTCCCCTCCTCGACGCATAGCTCCCCTAGGCAATGATGGCTCTATCTTCAATAGGGTGGCGTCACGGTTCCCAAGGGTTGCCTCGTGTACTCAACGAGCACAGCCCGTCGAGAGTCCCCCGAGCACTCCTCGAAAGGAATTATCTCACGAACGCGACACAGGGGAAGCTCCTCAAGCAACCACGGGGAACCAAATCTCCTGGCCGAGCATGAGGCCCCGTGACAAAGGCGAGCTGAGATCAAGTCATAACTCCTGCTCCAGGAGCCACGACTTGGGGGGCTCCTGTTCTGGACTGGGCCCGGGTTGGCCCAAGAGCAAGAATGAAGGCCCAATCCAAACGGCTCTACAGAGGACGCGTCAACCAGAAGCTACAGCCGTGCCCGCCACTGCCCACGAACGCAATGTCCTCGATCACATACAATCCAGCTCGAGTCCAGCTCGAGCACCCTCCTCGTAGGGCAGACTGTGACCGTTACACCATCACCTGAACTCCGAAAAGACCGCGTCCTCGTCCGTCCGTACTTCTCGCAGAGCATCCAGGGAGGAGACCACGTGCGGGTCCCCACTACACACGTAGAACCTGACAGTTCCTTTATTGGGCCAATCCTGGTCGGCCCAATGAAGGGACCTTGGCCCAGCGCTGGGGGCTATAAATACCGTCTGTTCCAAGAGGATCAGGTATTCATTCTCTTACCCATATACACACTTTTTTCCTGCTCGTACTACCACTCACTTTAGCATCAGAGTGCCTTGCAGGTACCCCCCATCTCGTTCAAACTTCAGCTCGGAGGCAGTCGTGACGGTCCAAGTCTGATCAGGTAAGATCAATATTCATTTGTATTAAAATTGATTTAAATTATAAGTTAAATGTTAAACTTAATATAATTCAAGTAGTCATATTTTTATACTCATAATGTTTAAAAATAACTTACTTATTTTAATATATAAATAGAACCATAATAGATCTTCTGATAACTTAAAAAAACAATAATATAAAACACTTTGTATTATTATTTTTTATTAAAAAATTAATAATATAATTACAAACATAATCTAAATAGTCTACAAGATAATTTTATATACAAATAAAAAATTAAATATCAACTATTATAAAATAATATAATTTTATTTCTAATATACCCGTGGAGTATACAGGTCGAAAATCCAGTTATTTTTGCTAACTTACTCTTTAAATGATAGGATTAATTCATCTTCACCATAACATTTTCTTTTTATATTAGAGTTACCAAAATTAGTAAAATTTTAATAAGGGTATTCAGAAAACAAATCACCAATATAATTGAAAATATAAAGGACCTAGTAATAGAAAAGACAGTACATTTGCTATCATGTGAGGCCCATAATATTTATTAATACAGTTGCATATAAACACATTTTTTCAACCCTGTTTTAAAACTATCAAGATCATTTATAGTTGGAAAATTCTTTGAATCTTCAATATGTCCCACCACCAGAAAATTGTACATAAGCTCTGATTTTGCCATAATCCCTTGAGAAAATTGTCATTATATAAAACCAAAGATTTTGACACTTCCAGCATGCTCAAAATATTTCACTCAGGAAGCCCCTGCAGAGAAAATAGGCACATCCATACAATGAAAATAGTTTATAAAACTTTAAACAACCAATAGTAGATTGAGGATAGATGTTTCTAACCAAAACCCTGAGGCTTTCCTGGTTGCATTTCTACAAAAAATTTAATGTCAAGTTTACTATTAAGCAAAAAAGTCAAGATATCATAAGACTTGTTTCAGAAGATTTAGCTTATTATAAAAATTGAAGATCTGTTACCTTGGTTTTCCTTCAAAGGAATCATTTACTTCATCAATAGTAGGCATTTGAGGAAAAGTAGACAAAATTACATACTTCTCTTTTCCAGGTGACTCATCTACTCTCCTGTACAGCTCATACCGGTATGGATATGACATCCTACATACCGGTGCGGCCAAATCAGTTACTTTCTCAACCATACATATGATTAAAAAAAAAAGTTTAATGATTGAAATATATGTAACCGTCTAACCTGATAGCTCCCATTATGGGATACTGAGTGCCTGCATAATAGAGAAGCCGAAAAAGATAGCAACTTTCAAATGATGCTGCATACTCGAGTCTTTTGTCTCGCCCCATTGTCTAGCGATTAAGAAGACAAAATTATATAACCTTACTTTTCTCTTGAATAAATTGTTATCTTCAACTTGCTGGTTTAGTACTCACTTGCATAATACCACTAGAAGCAGGTAAATCCTGAATTCGTCGTAATGTATTAGTTTAGGACTCGTAGAGGCAAATCTGAAAAACTTGTAAATCGTGCAACTATATCATGAAATAAACATGAACTACAGGGAACTAGGAACTGAACCTTAAGCTTAGCGTTGATTAAGATAACTGGTCTGTGTTCGGCAGCACTGGTCATTGCTTTTAAATCCTGTACATCCAACCTCGGAAAATAATAAGAAAGCGGAGAAAAAAAAATAGCAGCTCGGAAGGGTTAAGAAATATATATCAAAATCTATCAAGGCGAATAGAAGGTTCAAAATTCCACTCTATCCCCTTACATCAATAATACAATTCCCCATGGCATTCTGAGGAGCAACCAATATATACATGTCATCTTGCTCTTCAACCTCTGCCGAACCTGAGAATAGATATATCACAGCCAAATGGAAAACTATATAAGTATAACCAATAATAATGCACAAGGGGCTTAAATCAAAAGCTGCAACAGCAGAACCATACAAGTTGCAGGTTTTGATATACCTATTGAACCAATGTTGATGAATGTTCCTTTTGCACCATAATCACCCCAATCCATGAACTCTAAAATCTTTCGACTTCCAGCAAGCTGCAATGGCATTCCAGAAAGAGCACCTTCTCCCATTGACCCTTGCACACACACCTGCATGACGAAGTTGAGGAATGTTTAACCTAAGAGAACTATGTTGACGTTCACAGATAGAAGTGCCTTCTAGAGTCTAGACAAACAAAAGAGCAAAATGAGTCAGGAAAACACCTTTACACGTTTCCCATCATCAGCAAATGAAAGTGCAAGAGATCTAATAAGTTCCATCAAGGTACCAATTCGATAAACATCCTGTATACCAAAACATATGGTTATATCAAGATATTAAGAAAAAATCAAAAGAGAGAAAAAAAAAGTCCATACTCCATACCATTTCTGGATTCAGTTCAGGAATGTTGATGTCAACCTATTTGATTTGGAATGAAAAAAAAAAAAATCTCAAAAGAAAGGGGTAAGAGTATTAAAAAACTCTCCTCATGGTATTAAAAGCAAGACACAGAATTCTGGGACTATTGTTATTCTTATACCTTCAATCTAATTTTTCCATCATTGATAGCCCTTTGTGTAGCTAGTAGCACATCGTCATAAAAATATTTCCTGATATCTCGAGAATGGGGAATGTTGTTTAGTTTAGTTGGAATTCCTCTCCATTTATCCTGTAACAAGCTAAAGCAAAATAAGAAAAGATACACAAAGGAGGCTTTTGTAAAAATAATCAAAATAAAGAAACAAATCCTTTACAAAGTACTATCATCTACCTGGATCAAAGATGCTGGCCCCTTTTTCATATCAAGAATTGGTTTTTCTGAATAAATAACAGTTTGAAATGAAATTTCAGTTCCCTACAAATATATCTGGGGCGAAGTTTGAAATATGCTTTTGAAAATTCATACCTTCAGAATTCACTATTTTCACTTTATTCTGTTGTAATTGAGTTAATAAAGATTCAATATCTTTGAAAACTTCCTCTTTAAGACGGCTGCCATCAAGCTGCGTATATGACAAATAACTAAAAACTGAGAATGTCCCACTGGTTGACAATATTGGCATGACATAGGTAAGAAAATAATCTTTAGTGACCTTATTTGTTATGTTAGAATAAGAGGAAGATACTGCTTCTGCATTTTGCTTATATATGCTCAGGCGTGACATAACCTAAGAACAATTGAATAAGTATAAATTAGTTCAGAAGGATACCCGTTTCATTTACTGCTAACAGGAAAAAATGTGATAACACAACAGAAATATCACTAAATGACTAAATCATGTTCCTTCTTTAAGATGAACTTAGTGACTATATTTTCTGCTTTCAAACTACACATTGTAGGAATGAATCAAAAGCATGAACAAATGAGGCACTAAAAAGTAACCAGAAAGAGATGCTTAAATCATGACAGTGCAGGCATGTGAAGACATTTAAAGTGTATTTAAAAACTACATGCACAAAAAGACATGATTTCTCAGTTTGATTGCAGATTCGATTTAACTCGTATTTTTAAATTCTCAAAAATATTGCAAACAAACTTGCCATGCAACAAAATGTAAAGGTCATTCATAGCAACAAATATTTAAGACATGTTTTAATGGTGAGACCATCATTTCTAAGTTGCAATGGTGACACATATCTGACACACTTTCACTAATATGGCCTAGTTATATATCAATGAAGATGGACAAAAATAAAAAAAGGAGTATAGCATATCATACCTTTTCTTGGGTGTCATCAGGACGAGTTATCAACCTTGCTTTGATTTCATCAGTCTCTGGTGGGAAAAATTTCTGATGATATATCTTTCCAGTTACCGGGTCTAGCCTTCTACCAACACATCTGTCGATCAGAATTTCATCAGGAACCTGAGTATTAGAAAATTTAATAACTTAGCAAGGAAAATGAAACAGTTTGTATCTGATTATATATATATTGCATACATTACTCTACGGAATACTATTAAATTATATATATTATTCCAATATCTCAATACCAGCAAAGCAGGTGTTTATGTGCATTATATATAATAAATGATTTAGTAGTTTGTTGTAGATAAGTTATGAAATCTCTTTAACACTATAATCATTTTACAAACTTGTTAATTATTCAATAACCAACAAAACATCAGCACCTTATTAAACTAAACTAGTAACGTGTGTAAGAACAAAGTGGAATTTTGAGTAAAAGAAATAAGTTAATGATTGATGAATTTAATGAGCTTTAAGAAAATTGCAAATTAAGCAGAAGATATTTTGGAGATAAAAGTAAAAAAAAGGTCTTAACATACATCTAACACAATATACACATCAGGTCTTATCTGCATTTTCTCCAGACTCTCAGCTTGAGCCAAACTCCGAGGGTAACCGTCAAGAAGCCAGCCTTTTTGTTTTGCATCTTCAAGAGACAAGCGTGCTGCCACCATCTACGAGAGAAAAAGACAAAACAAAACAAACAAAGGCATGCCTATCAGCATATGAAAATGGAGCACAAAAGAAACTGTAAATTGAAATGTGTAATTCTTGACAATACAGCAGTCACAATTTCATCAGGAACCAAGCGACCAGCATTCATGAACTCTTTAGCTTTATTTCCTATTTCTGTGCCAGCTGCTACTTCTTGTCTTAGCAAGTCCCCAGTTGATATGTGCACCAATCCATACTGCAAAAAGAGATACAACATATCTGATCAGGCCTGAACATTTGTTTCAACGAATGCACATTATAAGCTGTCATGCCACTTCTATCAATAACATTAACAGATAACAGGACAGTTAAAAGATACACTCCTTCCGTCTCATAATATCTTTCACAATTGAAATATGATTTGTCTCAATTTATTTGCTACTTTTGAGTATGAAGAAAAACAATTATTACAATCCTTTTAATCTAGTTAACTACTACACCAATCAAAGATAGTTACTTTACAATGGTAATCACTAGTATTAGTAATTTTATTAATGTGTATGCATTATCTTAAATGACAACTAATATGCACAAAGGGAGCTTAACACTAAATAGAAAATAATGAAGTAACAAAATAAATACTCCTTCTGTCTTGTAGTTTTTTCGTTTGAGGTAATGCACGTGTCTTTAAATCGTCATTAATCATACTTATTTCCATCCACAATAATCTTTCATGGTCTCTTCTGCCTTGCAGCTCATTTTTTTCTGTTATTGTGCAGGCATTGTCTTTAAGCAAGTGCTACAAAACTCTTATCAGATTTCACAATTTCCAAAACCATGTACTAAAGGAGATGCATTGGCAATTCAAATATCATAAGATGAATAAAAGACTAATTTAGAAGGATGCAGGAATCATCTTCATGGTCGACTTCTTTTATATAAAGGTGCTCGTCCTTAAGAAATAGACGTCGCTTTGGAAAACTACTAGTCACTGGAAATTGATTTCTCTCGGCAAGGTTTATTACGAGTTTGTGTTCCGTGGTTGATGGTCTTTGAAACCGGGTATCCTGCATCTCTCCCAATGAACACCTGATATAAACTAACCCTCACATTCAAAAACAAACTCTTTCTGAATCTTAGGTTCAGTTTCTAGGCTTTCCACAAGAGTATTGGGTCCAAGAATATTGTTTGCAACTAACTGTACAGATTGTATTTGGCCCATTAGTTAGCCACATTAGGTATAACCGCTATAGCGCGGACACCTCGGGAAAAAAAGGTGTGTCTTAGTCGGTGTGGGTGTCCGAATCAAACATGAGATATGTGATCACGTTTAATTTATTCATTTTTTTCAAATTAGTACAGGTTGTCAAGTGTCTTGTTTATTTAACCAGTTTAGTGATTGTGGTCTAATTACTACTGAAATTATTTCAGAAAATTATTCCCTATGCTACAACTAAATTTCTTAAAATGCATAATTCAGTGACATTCATATGAGAGAGAGAGGAAGCAATAAAGTTACCTTAGAAACGATCAATTCACATTGTGTTCCCTTGCCAGATGCAGGTGCACCTGATATCATAATCTTCAACGGCTCGCTTGTGGAGCAACTTATCACTTTCTTTAACACCTTGTTAAAAAGAAAACGATGACGAATAAACAAAACTTCAAATAAAACTAAAAGAATATATAAATAAACTAAACAAACCTTAGCTCTAAATGGAGAATGGGTTTTCCGGGTGAAGTTGGTAAAGTGAAGAGATTGAGTGTGAGAATGGTTATTGAGAAGTGAACATGGGTGATAGGAGGAAGAAGGAGAGAGAAGAGAAAGAGAAGGAGAATGAGAATGAGAATGAGAATGAAGAAGAAGAATTGTTGAGTGGAGATAGGAAGAGGAAGAAGGTGTGGTGTGCAACATTGTTGCTTTCAGAGAATGAATGAGTCAGCCAGGCTCATTCATACCTTTGCCTGAGTTTAGTTTTAGTGGTTATTAGTCATTCATCACACTCTAATGCCAAGCAACCAAGGCCACTCCTTCTTTACATTATAAAACAAATTTATCTTTCTTTTTTAAATATCATTTATCTCATTTTACATTACTTTTTCTTTATTTTTAGAATTTTTTTATCTAAATAACCAACATTTTCAAAATAATTCTCTAAATAATCAACTTTCCCCACTATTTTTGAAAATAACCTAATTTCAAACAACAACAAAAATTGAAAACATAATGTACATGAAAGATGAATTAGCGACGGCTTTAATAAGGTAAAATTTGCGTCAATTAAATTGATGTCTCTTGTAGGTCTAACTGATTTAATTGACACTTTAAAACCTAAGAAAAGGTGCCAATTCATCTGACTCTTGATAATTTTTTTAATTAAAATAATAAATTATATAAAAAATAATAAAAATATTACTATTTAATAGTTAATTTAAATATGATTACATACGACAATATTTTTAACATTAACGATGACGATCGGGTTTGTCATACATGTTACCGGTTCCACTCTATATGTACCCTTGCTCGTACCGTTCGTTGTTGATTCACCATAGGTGTTTGAGGATTTGAAGTCCCTGAAACATCATCATCACTAGATTCCCTAATAAATTCTTGTAATTCAAAATAGTTTTGTGTTTGTATTGACGCGCTACCGTAATTGAGTTTGTGGCCCTTGTCAGCGTAGTTTGGTTGTGTTCATTGGGTAATTGGTGAGTGGTCTTCGTTTTGTGGCTAGGTGTCTAACATGTATTGGTTGTGGATTTGAATGCTTGATAGTTGGTAATTTTGTTGGGTATGGGGTTGTGTGTAAGTTATTTGGTAATTTTGTTAGGGGTTAGACGTTGAAGCTTCTTGTGTATAAGTCGTTTGGCGCGGGTCTTATAAATACCTATGTTCGGAGAAAAACACAATTGTAATCGATTTGTACCAATACATATAATTATTAGTTTGTTTAGATTCGGTTGACATGACAGCGCCCCATTAAGACTCGTTGGCGACGACACCTCCATTGATGACACTCGGCTTTAGGGAATTCTTTCCAATCGTGAAAGGCCCATTGTCCAAGGCACGTTAGGGAATCTGGTATTTGTTAGTGCATGTTGAACTATAGTTCACACGGTCACTATGGTGCATCTCCATTATGGTGAACTTGGTGACCGTGTTGTTGCAGTTCAAATGGTTGCATCTTCTTTGTTGATTTCATGTTGATGTTCCATACCCAGATATGGCCTTTAGATAAATTGTAGAGGAAAAATAAATTAAATTAGTAATGGATAATGTTGGGTGAGAATATGGAGAAATTAAACGGTCTAGAGAGGGTGAATAAACCCTTTAAAAAACAATATAAAATTTGAACAATTATCCAAAATGGATTATCATAGGTTTTTAAAAAGTACACATGGAAGGTTTAAAGAGAAAATATGAAGATTATACTTTTGTTGGAACTTGATCACGTTAATACTTAATCAACTCACAAATACCAATGTTGATTTTATGATGATACATAAAAGGTAATCAATTGATTCAGTTGTATATTTCACGAGAATGTTTATACAACGATTTAATATCAATGAATTCTAACTTCAATAGTTTCTCAAAATTTAATCACCATTAAATCTCGATTAGGTACCAATTCTAACAAAACAAAACCTTACGTAATAAATCACATCCAATTGAATAAACGATAAACTACGCTAAGAGTTGAAAACCTAAGCATACAATGTCCTACGAAATATTAAATGCAAAAGTGAGTGAGAGAGAGAGAGAGTACACTGGGATATATAGTCATGTGGTATTCGTCCTCGCTTTTCATACTCCACTCTTCAATGGTTTCCCATTGAAACCTGCTTTGTTCCTTTTTATTTTGACAAATATTGCAAGAGTTAATACAATCAGTAATCCATAAAATGATGAGAAAAATAAATTGCCTATCTGGATCTTGACTTGTATACAGTGTGATGCCAAACTCTGCTGCATAATCTTTACTCGATTCACGCTTCTTGAATCTTCCAGCTTCACCAGTCTGCTAATAGTCTTCGTGTGTGGTAATCACCCCTTGATCCCACCAAATTCTTGAAGGATGAATTGTCTAAATATTTGAGAAGAACTTTGCCTAGTTTATAGTCTTCCACACAGTCACTACCAAGGACACCTAGAGAGAAGAACCTCCTTCTTTTCTATGGAATTTGTTAGCACCAATGGCAACAACCTCAATATTGCAAGCTTATTTAAAATCTCAACCAAATCTTCAAGAACCATTAGTTTTAAGACAACGTCTTCTCCCTCAATCAATTACAAATCTCTCATGATCGAGATCTAAAATCAAAATTAGAAGTTGGAGATGAAAGAAATTCATTTACAATAGTTTTTGAACTTTCAAAAGTGATAGGGTGTTGATTTCATAATATCACAATATAGATTATGACTTCCACAAAGTTATTTTATGTAATAAAATGACAAAATGATTTTATATGTGCTTGAGATTAAAAACAAAAATGGATGGAAAAAGTTAGCTGGATTCGAGTCAATAGAATTTCATGATTTGAGTCAAATGAGCAAGTAATGTGAAACAAGATCTCATAAAGAAAAGTGACTCATTTTCCTTTGATTGGAGTCAAGTTAAATATGTAATTTGAGTCACACAGGTTCATGATTCGAGTCATGGGTTAAACCTGCTCGAATCAAATAAGGTAGTGGCTGACAGGAGGTATGTGATTCGAGTCATGTGCAATTTTTATTCGATTCAAAAAGTTGCATGATTTAAATCATGTGTAAAATTTGATTTGAATCACAGACATAAAAATTTTCCTATTATCCTCTGTATGGTTTGATTCGATTCATGGATTGTGAATGACTCGAGTCACACGCCAGAAATCTCAATTTTTCAAGTTTTTCAAAATAGTTTGAGATTCCACTTTCCACCTGACTTGAATTGATATCACATATGGTTCTTTTTTCATTAACTCGGGCAATTAACTTAAATCATCATGATAAAATATCAAACATATCAATTGATTTAAGCATGCTTAAAAACAAATTCAAACTTGATTCAGATATGTGCAATTATGAAGGAGACTCAATAAACAATTATAAACAAAACACGAAAGCGATAAGACAAGCAACAAAACAATTGTATTGGGGTTCTCACCTCGAATGATTTAGGGGAAAACAACTTTAGTCTCCCCTTTTTTTTTATGCTTGACAAGATTTCACTTGGAATTGAGTCAACTTTGAGCCAAAAACAAAAACACTTGCGCTCCCCCTAACATTGCACAGATAACAACACTTCATAAAATCCATAAAACAATTCTAGACTCACATTAAAACTTCTCCCTCTTTTATAACATCAAAAAGAGATAGATCTAAATGATTATACAAAACAAGTAACTAACCATAAAATAAATAATTCCTGAAAACATATGAGATAAACAGCTAAAAAGAATATACAACAACAAAGATCGAATATATAACACGGAGATATACATGCTACATGCAACAAAATGCAAATAGACATGTAACACCAACATTCAACAACATACAATTAAGTGATCAAAACTATTACGTAAAGTAAGATTAAATAATGCATGAACAAGTATACAAATGATCAAATGCACATAATCAGTAACACACGTTTAAAAAGACTTAAATTAAAAGAAGAAAAATCAAAACATGCTAGAGATGAATGAGTAAAATATAGAAGGTAATAAGAAAACCAATGAAGATATACATAACAAACACACACAATGATATAATACCATATACAAGAGTTATAAAGACATACCAATGTAGTCAAAAAAATTATGATTTGCGACAAAATAGTGTTAGTGAAAACAAAATATACATAGCCATGGAAACTAAACAGAGATCTCATTCTATTTAAAGCACAGTGAATCTAAGATTCCAAAATCCCAAAAAATATTTTGAAAAGATTATGATGATAATGGTTTTATAAAAATGTCAGCAAGATGACTTTTAGTGTCAACATATTAAAAAACGGCATCTTCTTTTTCAAAATGATCTCTAAGAAAATGGTGTTGGATCTCAATGTGTTTAGTTCGTGAATGGAGTACCAGATCTTAGTGAGGCTTATTGCACTAGTACTATCTCACTTAATTGAAATGTAGCTAAGTTTTAAATCATAGTCTAGTAATTGTTTCTTTAGCCATAAGAATTGTGCACAACAACTACTAGTGGCTACATATTCAGCCTCGACAATAGAAAGAGCAACAATATACTGCTTCTTATTGTCCCAAGAAACTAAATAACTTCCAAATAAGTGACAACAACCACTAGTGCGTTTCCTATATGACTTTCACCCTACAAACTCAGAATCAAAAAAACCTACTAAGCTACAAGTGCAACCTTTAGGATACCAAAGACCGTGTTGAGGGATCTGTTAAGATACCACAAAATTATATTTATGATCTTAAAATGGGATTCTTTAGGTGACACTTGATATCTAGCACATATTCACACACTAAACATGATATCTGGTATACTCGTTGTTAAATAGAGTAAGGATCTGATTATACCTCTATACATGGTGATCTTGAAATCCATCCTTTCTCATCTTTGTTAATAAGAACATTTGAAGCCATGGGTGTTGTGATACTTCTCGAATCTTTTATATCAAAATTCTTGAGAAGATTTAAGAAGTATTTCATTTGACTTATGAAAGTGCCTTCTTCTACTGGCTTGATTTACAATCCTAAGAAATATGTCAACTCTCCCATAAGAGGCATCTCAATTTGGCCTGCATCAAACTTACAAACTCTCGACAAAGATATTTGTTAGTAGAACCGAAAATAATATCATCGACATACATTTGAACTAAAAGAATGTGCTTTTCTTTGTGTAATAAACAAAGTGGTGTCCATTTTACCACGATTAAAGCCTTGTTTGATTAAAAATCC